TGAATACAGATGATGATCTTCAACATGCTGTATTTTTTTTTTAATGTTAATATTCGTGAAGAAAGAGACAAGAAGAAAAAGAAGTAAATCACGATCTTCCACTCACCCAACAGAATGATGAAAAGCACATTCCAATGTACAACCATGGGACAAGAACACCAGATATATCACTGCTTTCATAAGAAAGTAAAGATCCAGGAAGCCTTGGAAAGTTATTCAAGTTCCATCCGGATCTAACATACTTTTCATCTGACCCGGATACTTGACACGGATCTTTTGGAAACCCGCTACCAAATGTACCCGTTTCCAGGTCAGCACCATAAAGAACCTACATTTTCACAAGAAAAAAAAAATAAAACATAAACTTTTAGTTGATAAATGCAAAAAAAAATGTTTTTAGCAAGATAGATACCTCGATTTCTTTACTAGGTCGTTCTACCATACGCCAATATTCACCCTCTATGTTTTCTAAAGATGGGTCCCACGAATCTTGATTTGTATTCATTTCGTTTCTTCTGAAATACTGAGTCTTGAAATCATCCGCATACTTTTGAAACTCATCAAGTGTGAAGCGTGGACCGGGTTCAAACCCAAAACAAGGTTCAGGAACCATTGGGTCAACAGGGTCTGACCCATGAGTCTTTTGGTCAAACTCTGTTTTCACACATCTTCTTTTTTTCGCTTTCTTATGGTAATTAGGAGTCAACATTTTGGTCAATGAATCACGGTTTTGAAGTTTATCAACTCTTTGGATACGAGTAGCAAAAGTTGAATTTTCCCATACAGTTTTTTCCTTAAGAGGACATGGAGGCTTCCATGATGAAGGTGGTACTATTCGACAAATTCCATATGCTTCGGCTTTTTCTCTTATGCTTGAAATGTACTTCAGAGTATCTTCAAACTCCTGATAAACCAATTAGTCATTTATATTCAGACAATTCATTCAGTCCAAAAAGGAAATAAGTCGTTAAAGAGAATGGTATTGGTAGATACCTCTTCACTTGGGTAAAACACAGGAGCTTCAAGAAGATCAGGGATTCGAGCTTCTTCTGGACGCCATTTTGCAATAACCTGATAAAATTGTTTTTTATTTTAATTGAGTATATGTATACACAATAACTCAAACTTCAAAGTACAAAGTGTAATATTAAATTATGTTAAGTTATTAACCTTTTGGCAGTTGCTACACTTTTCACATCCACGAATAACCCCTTTAGAGATCGGATTGCTTGAAGTTTGGTTCTGCATTAATACCATTAAGTCAAGAAATATCATACAGACACTGTAATTAATTAAAAAACAATATTTGATGACATACCTTTTCAGATTCAGACTCATCCCCTGAATTGCTATCAAAACGGCCATAGTTTATCCAAGGTCTAGGTCTAACAGACCTCTTAATCTTTTCATCATCATCATCATCATCATCATTGTGCTGGATCCCTGATTCGTTCTTGACTGGATGTTGTTCAGAAGCACTCATGGGGACAGAAACTTTGTTGTCGTCAACTCTTTTTAGAGAAAAGGCTGTAATCGATTCAAACCCTGGTGGAATTGATGGAATATCCATGGTTTCTTCTTTGACATGATGCCTGATGAGTTCTGTCCCCATCATGAAGTTGTTTTCACAAAAGTTCTTGTTCAAGATTCTCTGATTTTATGAATAATACTTTATCAGTTAATCTGCATCATAATTTGCAAGCATATGGAGAAATTAGTAACAAAGAAAAGTCTCATGGATCGGATCGGATCGATTGTTGATATATACATATACATAGATGATATAAAAGTTCAAAGAACATGAGTATTGATTACCCCAAAACAAAAGAGAGATGCAGTCGTCCTTGGCCAAATGCAGTTCAGGCCCAGATGTTAAAATATGAATGTAAACTTCAGTGAAACCTAAGAATTAAATAAAACTACAGATGATTAAGAATTTACTTAAAAAGGAATGATCAATTTAAAGCTTAATAAATTGAGAACAAAATCAACAGATCTGGTCTAACCTGGCCTTACCCAGATTGTCAAAGTTACCCAGAACATATCAATCAATTAATTTAGGGTTTACAGAACAATAACTGATAAAAAAACAAAGCAAAACCAGGACTGACTCAGATCCCACTTGCAATAAAAACAATATGCGATTGACCTGGTCAAAATCCCTAAAAAGTGCAAGAAAAAGGGGGATCAGAAAAGAAGGGAAAAAAACCCTGGATACACAAACCAGATGAACACAAGATTAGGATTGCATGTTGAAGAAAAACCAATACCCAATATAAATTCAACCATCTGGATAAATTAAAACACAAACAGTAATATAATAGGCTAGCCCTAGATAAACATCACAACAAATCTTGATGATCTAAAACTGTACAAATCTGGTAGTGAATACCTGTATAGCATTAATAAGAACACGGTTTTTGTTGGATGATATCAAGAACAGGAATATGGTAGGAAAATTTGAGGTGGGTTTGGTTTGGATTTGGATTTGGATTTGGATTTTTATTTTCTTAGGGACAATAGTAAATATTTTTACAAGGAGACTGGTCCAACCAACTTAAAGTTTTGTAGGGAAAACATTGGTTTAATTAGATCTTTAATTACAATATTATTGTGTTTGTAGAGGTGGAGGACCATGGATATGTTCGTTGATCAAGAAAGAAAAGTCATGCGTGAGGCGAGAAGTTGGGGAGAAATTGGATTGAATTGAATTGAATGGAATCTTCTTTTAATTGCTTCTGTTTTTATATTTATTTACTGTTTGTTGTTGTTTTATTATTTGGGAAGTTTTTGGTTTACCTGTGTGTTGTGATTATGAAGACGAAGTGAGATGGATGCCCGAATGAGGGAGGAATTGGATCTTTCTTGTGAGTTTTGTTGGATAAAAGCATGAGACAATACTCCTTTTGTTATTGTTATTGTTACCCCTTTTTTCTCTTCAATTCGATTGGACGGTCAGGATGGAGACACACTTGCAGTTCCAAAATCCGAATGTATTTCAACAGCCTAATTAGGTGTACAGTCTAGGCTCATGCAATACCATGGGCTATATATCATATAATGTTTTGAGTCTTTCTAAGATGGTGCTTAAATTCTTTTAAGAATACATTATTGTTTTCTCCTAAAATTATACAAAAGTAAATCAGAATTTTAGTCCCTTTGGTTCACACCGATATGTGTTTTTATTTTAGTCTTAAGTTTTGTATTTTTGACACCACTCATTCTTATTGTTTCAAAAGTTGCAATCTAAATGCGTCCTTTTTTAATAGACAAGACTGCAAATTTGGTCCTTGTAATTTGTAAAAAACTTTGAATGGGGTCCAAAATCTTTTCGACTTGCATGGATGGTCCAAATCAGAAACTTTTCGTGGATTTAGTCCTCTCAAACTCTATTATTTGTGAATTTGGTCTACATACAACCTAAAATGACTAATATGCCCTTCCAATGATTCTTTTTTAATTTCTTTTCGTTTTCCTTTTTGTATATTTATACTAATCCTCTCTCTCTCTCTCTCTCTCACACACACACACATACACACACACACACAAATGTCGCTTGCTTCTGTAGGATTCCATAGAAGAGTTCCAGTTTTATTGTTGACAGCTTCTTCAACATCGATCTACAATGAAGACTAATCATCACAATATAGGGGATTCATGTATGAACATCGGTGTGGATGAATGGAGGTTAGCAAGAAATCAGCCAACACCATTTTCGATACCCCAAATCAGAACCAATAGCATCACTACTTCTTCTTTCTCCATTCAATCGATCTAAATTCTGTAAAATCTCCTACTCTCCAATAGACATGATATCTTTGTTGAATCCACCTTCTAGCATTGCATAAGCCAAAGAAAATTTGTACCTGCAACCATGTTTGTTCTTGATTGTGCATAAAACCCCTAAATTGGATGTTGGAATTGCTAGGGTCGACGGTGATAAGATGGTCATCATACCTGTTCTACTTATAGATGCATCTCTGATAAGGAGGTCATCAGATTTACAGCTAGAGGAAGAATAAGATGCAAGTAGAGGAAGATGATGAACTTAAAGAACCCAGATAAAGTTCATGCTCGTTAATCTGAAGCTATGGCCGACGATGGGTCGATAGGAAAGACGGTATAGGCAGCAATGCCGACGTTGGGGTAGGCCATAGGAATAGATGAAGATGAGGGTGGTGGAGATGAAGGGGTGTGGTGGTGGTGGTGGTGAATAAGTGAAATTAGGATAGGGTGGTTGCCTGGTTGTTGTCGTTTGGGAGAGAGAGAGAGAGAGAGAGAGAGAGAGAGCTTGGGGGAGTAGTTGATTTTATTTTTTCTTTTTTCATAATTATTAAAGAGGGTGATAATTTATTTTTTTATATTTTTTATGATTATTTAAATACTAAACCAAATTTAAAAAATGTAAAATAGAAATAATAGGGGCAAAATAGTCATTTTAACCTTTTTAGGACTAAAATCACGGAAAGTTTCTGATTTTGGACCATCCATGCAAGTCGAAAAGATTTTGGACCCCCATCCAAAGTTTTTTACAAACAAGAAGGACCAAATTTGCAGTTTTGTCTTTTTAATACTCTCGTCACCTATTAGTGAGCCGGAAAGCTTAGGAACGCCTCTCATTCCTCTTCTCTCATTTGACAACCGTATCTCGTCCTCATAGTCGGTCGATTGGCTTGAATCTCTTTTTCTTTTGAATCATAACCTACTATTAGTGTATGCCTAAAACCGAACTAATTACTTTTCTCTAACCAATTATCCTTGAAACTAACTATGTCACTTATTATCTATTAAATATCAGTAAAATTATCATTGTACCCTTTTGTTTTTTATTATAATATTAATAACTTTAGGAACCAAATGTGTAAAATACAAGGAAAAAATAACTCGAAAAGATTTTCAATCATCGAACCATTCACACAGTCACCTATACATTTCCCTTCTTGGTAGCTCTAACATCGGCAACAACTTGTCGGACTCCACCTCATTCTACCTCGGGTACCGATGTCAATGCTCTCCTTACAGCTTAAAAGCTTGGGTCACTCTTCCACCCTTTCCCCTGTCTCCATCGCTTTCTACCAAATAAAAGTTGTTGATAACTCATTTGGTTTGCCATAGGACGTAAGTAATTTTGAAAAGTTGAGTCACGTGGAGGCCCCACACAAATCATTAATTGTTTTCCCTCTTCTCCGTGGAGTTCTTCATCAATGAACAAATACATCCCCCCTTCTAATTCTCCTCTCACATACATCGATCTATGACAAAAAATCAAAAAGGTGATTGCTCAAGGAGGAGCAGTGAAGTGTTTATGGCATTTAGATATGGTAGATCATTAGAGGACGAGTGGACGACGTCAACATGCTTAAGAGGCGTGAAGTGAAATAGTTCCCTGGTTGTCGGACAAGGTCATATTGATGAGATATAGGTGTTGATGTGGTGTGATGTTTTGTTCCGATTATTGCTATTCCAATGGTTGGATGGAGGAAATAGGAGGTGTTTACATTGGAGATGTTCTGAAGGATGCATGCAATATTTACCTCCATCATTACGACTCAACCATTATCGACCTCCTCCTTTATCTTCGTCTCCTTTTCTTCAAATCACTACTCAACCAACCCTACAACTTGTAGTAGCTAAAGTTTCTCATGTGGTAAAAACTAGGAGCGGGACTTGGATGTCTTATAATGTGTAATTTTAGTTTTAATTGGTTTTGTGAGTTGATTAATATCAAGTTTCTTAATTGATTGTGTATTCTGAGTTTAAAGTCATTAGTTTCATCATGTATAAGTTTGGTTCTTTCTTTTCAGTCGAGTTTTCTGTTTTTCCGATGAAATTTTATGGGTTTATTTTTCCGACAAAATATGTGTGGTCATGGTGGTGATTGTTGGCATGGTGATTGTCGAATGTTTAGTTTTATAGGTTTATTTTTCCGGCAACAGTTGGATAGTGGCGATGGTGGGGTGATGTATTGACGTTGGTATTAATGATGGTGGTGGTGGTGATTGGTGGTGGGGTGATGTGTTGATGTTGGTATTAGTGACGGTGGTGATGATCGATGGTGTGGTGGTTCTTTTATTTGAAACTTAAAAGAAAAAAAATACAAGGCCATTTTCATAATTTCACATGTACCAAACAAAGCATTTTAGACCGTGACAATCTCAGGGCTACATGTGTAATTTTTGGAAACCATAAGAACGAGTCATTTCAAAAATACAAAAGTTATACTAAAAATGCAAATAAGTGTAAACCGCAATAACCAAATATGTATTTTAGTAGTTTTTGTTATAAATGGTCCATATTGAATATATATATATATATATATATATATATATATATATATATATATATATATATATATATATATATATATATATATATATATGAAATTGTCCATGATTTTTAAACTTACACGAATTGTCCCTAAGTTGCATAAAATGACTTCTGCTTTTTTTTTTTTCATTATTGTAACACCCCGATTCTCAGCTATTGATTTATATAAGAATTTCTTTGATTTCAAGGTCTACTCAACGAGTTGGTTGCCCTACTCGTCGAGTAGCAGCGGGTTGGTCCACGTATTTTAGTGACTTACTCGCCGAGTCCAAGAAGGGACTCGACGAGTAGGAGCTGGCAGATGAAACCCTAAATCCCGGGGTATTGCACCCTATTTAAATGATCATTGGCCTTCCCCAGCCTCCCCTTTAAAGTTACTTGACACCCTTAAACCCTAATTCGTGTGAGTGTACTCCATTTGTGTTCTTAAGCTTGGGAAAAGGATTTTTGGTGGGAAGAAGCTTGGAGATCAAGTGACTAGGAGCAAGGAACGTGTGGAACCAGAAATCTACCTCAGTTGGCATCCTTTTTGGAAGGTATTAAGTCATTATCCTAACCCCCCTTTTCATTCTAGATCTATTTTGGGTGGATTTTAGGGATTTTCTAGCTTATTAGGAAGCCTTTCTTGTGTTTGAGCTAAGATCTGAGGTTGCAACCTCAGATCTGAACTCTCTTGGGTCTCTAAGTCCATAAAGTTTCCAGATTTTTGCAAGAATGAGACTCTCCTAAGGTGTAAAGCTCCATTAGAAGCTTAGATTGGTCATTTAGAGTCTCTAGGGCCTTGCATGCACGTAAAGTTTGCAACTTTACATGATAAACATGCCTTAGAAGCTTGGATCTGCAATATGGAGGCGTTGCATGGCTTAAAAAGTACCTGTATGGATGAAGGTCTGAAGGGACTCGACAAGTTGCATAGTCAACTCGGCGAGCCACATGAAGATGGTCCTGTACTCGACGAGTTGGATGAACAACTCGGCGAGTCCGTTGAAGATTGTCGTAGACCCGGCGAGTCAGTAGAATGACTCGGCGAGTCGGTTAGGGTTTTCCCAACCTTCGGACACGTATGAACTCGGCGAGTTGTAAAGGGAAAACTCGGGCGGGTTGGCCAAGGGGTTACAGCCACTGACACTAGGAACTCGACGAGCCACTCGAGTGACTCGGCGAGTTGGCGAGTCATGCCAGGAACTCGGCGAGTAGCTAAGGGTACTCGACGAGTTGAGGTCAACATGGACTGTTGACCTTGAAAGTTGACTTGGACTTTGGGCAAGGGTTGACTATTAGACTTCTGGAAGTATCTTAGGAACCTATGAACTTTGTGATGTGTCGGATATAGGTGGTGGAGTTTGTGGTGGTGATCCGGGAGTTGAGCTTTCTAGTTTCAGACGACAATTGCGAGGTGAGTTATCCTCACTATACTAAGGGGTCTAAGGCACCAAGTCCGTCCCATTGAATATGTTATCCAAGTAGTGTTATTATGTTGAGTGTGGATTAGTGATTGCATGTTAGTAGTTATGCCAGTTGGGTAGATCTGTAGGGTTACC